ATCTTATATAGTAGTCTATCAATTTTAGAAGTACAAAGATATAAATTTGCAATTGATTTACTAATTTATTTAATTAACTTATCATTTTAGCTAAATTTATTATTTGATGTCATATATAAATAATTAAATGAAATTTAGTAATGATATATTTGTATTTTTATGTTTGAATATAATTATGTATATTTTTTTTGGATAACCCATTTATGATCTAATAGGATTGAAAAAAATAAGAGGAACAGTTTATATCATTGATTAAAATTTAAACCAAGATTGATCAATAATATTTTTTTTAATCTTAACATTTATAGGGGATTTACAATATATCGAACAGATAAAGCCAAGACTCAGAAATCATCAGAAATTCAATATATATAAAAGAAAACTTAAAATTTTTTTAGATATTAATTAAAATGATCACTAATAAATTATTTAAACCAAAACTAGAATCAAAATAATTTAATGTTAGCAAAAAGGTAAGGCAAACATGCTGTTTTTACCCACAAAGGTTAATCATCTGTTATGATTTAATAAGAAAAATTCCTATACCATTAAAAGGAGTTCATTATTTTTTAAAAGTTTAACCTGGTTTTGTAATAGTGGAAATAAAATAAACCTATTCGACTCAAGGTTATAACTAACCAATAGAATTAGAATACTTATTTTCGATTAATAATAATGCAGCAGTGACTAAAATGGTTGTTGAATTAGGAGACATAAAAGTTTATGGGATTGTTAAGGAAAAAGAGGAAGCTAAATAGTAGTATGAAGATGGAATAAAGTAGGGAAAAACAATGGCATATAGTGAGTAAGATGAGGAATTCCCTGAAATTAAAAGAGTTAAAATTGGAGCCCTTGCTCCAGACAAACAATTAAATATCACTTTTGAATACATATAACCTTTGGATGTTGTTTTGAATAAATTATGGAAGGTAGAAGTTTAACCAATGGTTGATAACAACTATTTCAGCCTTAATCAACAAAACTAAAGAGTTTATAATAATTATTTTGATAGACTCAACAGATATCTTGAGAAATTTGTTCAGATTGATTAGTTTGAATACAACTTTAAGCAAGATATTACAGTATCAATAGATATCGGGTCTCCAATCACATATTACAAATGTCCAACGCATAAAATTTTAAGTGGAAATGCTAAAAATGAATACGCAAAGCAAGAAATTGGTGAGGAAAAATTAAAGAAATTATATCTTATGTTGGAGGATACACCATCCAATTTTATTCCAACAAAATAATTTACACTTCTATTTTCAAGTGATGATATAAATCTCCCTCGTTCAATCTTAAGTCATACTAATAACGATGCTTTATACACTTAAAAATATTGTGCTACTTTGACTTTTATTCCAAAATTTAATTAAACAACTTTAGATGATGCATATTCACAATATTTAGATGGATTAAATATCGCAGAAAATTAAGTAATTAATAGAGGAAATTACTTATTTTTTATTGATAGAAGTGGATCGATGTCTGGTGTTAGAATCAAAAGAGCAAAATAATCTTTAATTTTGTTTTTGAAAAGTCTACCTGAGGATTGCAGATTTAACATCATATCGTTTGGAACAGTGTTTAGATCTTTATGGTCGGATTCTAAGTAATATTCTCAAACTACATTGGAGGAAGCCATAAGCCATGTGAATAGTATGGAGGCGAATATGTAGGGTACTGAGATATTTAAACCATTATAAGATATCGTCTATAATAAATAATACGGCAAGTCAAAAACAACTACATTAAATATCTTCTTGCTTACTGATGGAGAAGTTGATGCTGCTCCTATAATTGATTTGGTTAAAAGAAACAATTAAGCAGAAACTAGAGTTTATACTTTAGGGATTGGAGAGGGATGTAGTCAATATTTAATTAAGCAGTTGGCTGAAGTTGGAAATGGCAAGTATTAGTTTGTATCAGATAATGAAGATATAAATGCAAAAGTTATTGATTTATTAGAAGATTCATTGACTCCTTATTTACAAGGATTTAATCTTGAATCTAATATTACTTGTATTAATTAAATAGTTCCTAATCCTGAATCTGTTGTGTGTTTGAAGAAGAACTAAGAATTAACAATTTAGGTTTTATTTTCAGTTGAACAAGAGAATGAAAATTTATAATTAACTTTGAATTGCTTCGATCCATAAGAATAAAAACCAATTCAATATTCTGTTTCATTGAATTTAAATAATTCTTAAGAAAATGAATATTTTCATAAGTTAGCGTCGCATAAATTTATTTCATATTATGAGAATGGTGTGAAATATGGAGATAACCATTTAAATTTTATCAAAATCAATAAGGATACAATAGATGATCAAGATATCATTAATACATCTATAACACATCAAATATTGAGTTCTAAAACAGCATTTGTATGTGAAGTCTGTGATTTAGAAGATCAATTCAAATAGCAGATGAAGTAAAAAGTTTATATCACTATGATTGAATAAAATATTAGGTATTAGAAAAAAATGGAAGAAAAAATCTATGTTCCTAAAATATAAGGTTTGGCATTTTGCCCATCAAAATGTATACCACCAACAAGTTCTAAGATGTGTTTGCCATAATCGCAATTCACTTCATTAGCCCCAGTTGATTCTAGCCTAAAAAAAAAAGAGTCTCAAATTAGATTTAGATAAGAAGTGAACGATATTCAAAAAAAATCAAAGCAATTATCATAAAAGATCACAGAAGAAAAGAGAATACAAAAATAGATAGAGGAAGATATCGACATTGAAGATGAATTGGAAGAACGTCAATAATTGTAGACTTAAGTTAAAAAGATTGAGTACGAATAATTAGTTTCTTATTCACAAGCTGATGGTAGCTTCTTATATGATGGATTAATAGAAAAGTAAATAAATATTGAAGGACGGAAGAATGAGCAAGGCTATCCATAGAATGTCTGGCTTACTTTACTTGCTTTGCTATATTTAGATTAATTTTGTTTGGAATATAGAAAGTCATGGCAATTAGTGTACTAAAAAGGAATCTAATTCTTATAAAAGAACGGAGTTTCTTATAAGTAATTAAAGGAAACAGAACTAAATAAGCAACATTTTTGATTTTATATGTGTGTCTAAAATATCAATAATATTTATTAATAAATTTAATGAATTTAAGATTAATGCTCGGTATGGCGTCTAGATTGATTAGTGCTTCTAGGCATATCACTTTGATGCAATACCCATAATTACATTTGTATACAAATTTGTTGAGCATTGGTTTTACGAAGCCCATATTACCTGACACTTCAATATTGACAATCAGCACTTTTAGAAGAAAGCCTGCAAAACTTAAAAAAGCTAAAAGAAAGTAAAGAAGAAAGAAAATCAAGCGGATGAATAAAGCCAATAGAGAAAGACGTAATTATTGATTAATTATTAAACACATATAAATATTATTGTACTTATATCTAAATATATTTATCAAACTTCTAGACGCTTTTCACTCACATATATACCATCCAAAAATTGTCTGATATCCTTATTTTTAACAGCACAAGCTTAATGAATAAGTGCACAGGTAAGTGATACATTATTCAAATCATTGCCTTAGAGTGTTAAGACATCTAAATTTTGTATATGATTATTCTAATACTCTTTTCTTCAGCTTCATTTCTTGTGATTGTGACTCCTGGAAGACATTTGATGGTTCTGATGATCTTTTCACCAAGGAAATTCTTGATTTCAACTCCCATACCTTTTTCTAAGAGATTGATAATGATTGGAAAGTGAGCATATGCCAATACCATCTTGAATTTATAACCAGTGGTCACACCTCTAATCATATTTTTAATTGAAGAGGCAACTGAATTAACTTGGCATCTTTATTTTCTATATGATTGCCACATTCTAACACTGACTCTAGATTTAGTAGTATTAGTTTTCTTGTTCACTTTCTTTTACACCTAGATATCTAAAGCAGCATGTTTAAAATTTTTGATCAATTCCCCTCTTGGTCCTAAAATTCCATAATTTTTATCAGTACCTTTTACTTTGACTTATTTAGACTTGGCTTAAATTTCAATCTTCTCAGGAATTGATACGTGCTCCTCAGTTAGGATGTATTTCATATCTTTTAATTCTTTTAATTAAATTTTTGAAGTCTCAACCCGTAATATTAATGATTATGAACATTATATAATATAAATATTGTATAATTTTAATTGTATGTGTCATCACATATACCATATTATATTACTTTAAGACTTAAATTTAACTACCTACTTAATTATATATAATAATATATATTTAATTATTTCGTAATTATTACCACAAGTAACAATAAAATTAGAAATATTCTCAATTTAAAAATAAGTACTATTTCTTAAAAGCAAACCACACGTAATAAGAATACATACTATTAGAATTAGTATTTTTTTTATTTATTAAAGGGGAAAATATTTTATTTCATTTTTCACTTATTGGTATCTTTAATATTTAAGAGATTATTATAGTATCTTAATGTTTATTTATAAAGCAATTTTATAATAATTTTATAAATAGGCGATAAATCATTATAATTATTACTTCATTTTAAGGAACAACACACAAACAAAATCATTATCTTTCTTGTATAGTCACATTTTAGATTTTTATCTTAATTGTTTACCCAAAGTAACTTATAACCTAAAGTTCACTAAACCATTCTAGATATTATTCCATCTTAATACTACACTAACTTATAATATCTTAACATCAACTTATATAACAGTTTCTGCATTATATATAACAATAAGCTCCAAATAACTTTATGTATATTTGCTTTTTATTTTAAGGACATCAACTTGCAAATCGTTTAGCTTAAATTAAATATCAAGGATTTAATTTTGTTAAAGGTTAGAATTACTACTTAATTGTGATCTTTTGGTAATTCTTATTAAGAGACATGACAATAACACATTATAATTTGTTGTTTATCTAAAATAAAATCAAAACCTAAAGTTTATCTATTTGCCAAAAATCTTTACAATTGTATTCCTTTATCCTATTGTAGAAATAATAACTCAACTAGAATTTTTCCATTTTCAGTTTTAAACACTAAATAACCCCCTTCTCGATACCTAGTTACTCAACTTACTACTTTTTTTTTCACTTATTTGGGCAATCAGGTTCTTAAATTTATATCAATTTACTCAAGGAGACCATATTCAAAATGCAATATTGCATTTAATATAGAAGGAAGATATCTATTTAATTTATTGATGGATTATATCCCTGAAACTAGCTCATAATGAATTTTAAGAAGAATAAAACAGCATTCCAAAATTAGTCAATAAAAATATACAGTTACTTAATGATGCGAGCTTTGGCATATTTGCAATGTTAGTAGCAATTTACTAAATTTAGGAATCGGTATATGACACAGAGACATCAAACCTTAAAATATATTAGTAAATCTTATTTATTATAGAGCTATAGAAATGTGGCCAATAATAGGTATTTAAAAAAATATGTATTATTAGGTTGTGCGATTTCTAAGATGATCAATTGTGAACCCTTATTTGACAAGAGAAGTGCTACTGATTAACTAGTTGAAATAATCAAAATATTTGGGACGCCAACTATAGATCATATCAATTAGATGAATCCTTAACATTAGTAATTCAAATTTCCTTAAATTAAATGTCATCCTTGGGCTAAGGTATTCAAGTTTTATATTTTATAGGTATTTGCTAAGTTTAAACCAGAACCTCATTTCATTGATTTCATTAGTAAAATATTAGTTTATTAACCACAGGATAGATTGAAGCCTTTGGAAGCATTATTGAATCCCTATTTTGATGAATTAAGACTGTCCAGTTTTTAAGATGGATAAATGAAATTGCCAAACTTCTGTGATTTTTACAAAAGTACAGTATGAGTTTTCTTTTGTAAATAAGCTGTATTTATTGAGATTATTATAAAATTTAAATAATTTTCTAGAGAAATTACATATCTAATCAGAAATAGTAAATAAACTCACTCCAAATTGGGTTAAAAAATGAGAAAAAACATATTTATTTTTAATTTTGTGTTTCTTCTTTTCAATTATATAAATATAAATGAATAAGAAATCTGAATATACTTTTGAATAATAAAAGTAATCCCAATAAAAGTTACAATCAATCCATCAGTAATGTTAAATTGCAACAAAAAAAATTAGACAAGGTTTGTTAGAAGGAGGTTCAATAAAAATGTAAAACCAAGAAATTATGGGCATTTTCAAGTACTTCTTTTTTTTAATCCCAGCGATATTTATAAATTGACAGAGAATCCTGGAAAGACTTAAAATTCATAAAATTAGATAAAAGTTAAAAGTGGGGAAAGTATTGAGGAATAATTAATAAATTATTTTAAGGGTTTCTTGTAAGAATTCATTACTGATATTTATCAAAAGTTTAATGAATTTAAAGATGAGAAGGAGAGTGTATGAATAAGTATTTATATTCAGGTACTCTATATTGTTTCAAAAACATTTCATGATTACAAGGCTTATTCATATTGGCTTTACAAAATGTTTTCTTATTTAGATATATTTGCCATGCCATAAATTAATACAAATTTATCTAGCACCTCATTACAATTATTTAAAGAAGGATATTTTGATAAATGCAATAAGCTAATTTTGAATACAATTTTATAATTTATTTAGGAAACAAGAAAGAATGGAATATTATTGAATAAATAAATCAAACAACTCATTCAGCTATTTTCTGTTATGGGTTCTAATGAGGTTGAATTAAAGCATACGAAAGAAGTTGGAGAATATGATTATGTTTGCAAAAAGTAATAGGATGCATCAATTTTTTATAGAGAATAATTCTAATCACATTTATTGTAAGAAGTAAATTTTAATGATATGCATAGACTTAAAAATATTATAAAGAGGAAATAGATGATAAATAAAAGTTTACTACTCCAGAGTTTATAAATTGGGGAAATTCCATTTTTAAACTAGAATTAGATATGTGTATAGAATGCTATCCAAAGAGTTAGTAAGCTATAGAAAATAAACTAAAAATGATGTTGGTTAAAGATTAGGCATCTAGATTGATTAATTCCCCTACAGGAGTAGGTTATATGTTGCAATATGACAGAACTGAAGAATTGAAATAATTATTTTTATACATTCTTCGAAATAAGGAATGCATATGTCATCTTGCCAAAGCTTATCAAAATTATTTTGAATAATAAGGATAAATAATTAATAATTCTATTGAATAAGAATAATAATAATAAAAGGATGGTCGTTAACCACGTAATTATTATGATTATTTACTCATTTTTAGATGAGGCCGAGCTTTACTTCACTAGAATTTTAGAAATAATGGAAAAAGCATAAAATATATTAAAACAACAATTGTATGACGAACCAGAAATTTAAAAATCCTATAGTGGAGCTTTTATGTGTGTTATCAATAAAAATGAGAAATCTCCAATGTGGTTGGCCATTTATACAGATATAATCATAAGAAGTGAGAAAGGAGTAAATGAGATGGAAACTGATAAAAGATTGAGCAAGATTGTTTCTCTTTTTCAATTACTTTATCAAAGAGATGTTTTCTTTAGACATTATTAAAAATTCTTATCTAATAGATTGCTTAATTAATAGATATAAAATCTTTAATTAGAAAAGTAACTATTGTAAAAATTCAAAGGGGAAACTGGTACTAATGTTCTGTAAAATTTTTTAAATATGTTTAGAACTTAATTATCAAGTATGATTAATGATATTGAACAATCTAATAGATTTGCCAGTGATCAATAAATTAGCAAAAATACTAAATTTGATTTGAATGTGTTTTTGCTTTCTCAAGGGTGTTGGCCAATCACAACTATTTTAGATAATATCATTAAGCCACCTCAAATTTAAAATGTTTTGGAGTATAAATTAAGTTAATATTTTATTTAGGAATTATGAGAAGTTATATTTAGTTAAACACAATGGAAGAATACTTACTTGGTGTTTAAATATGGGGCAAGGTGAATTGATATATAAAATTTAAACAGAAAAATACTACTTGAATGTAAATACAATTTAAATGGTTGCTTTCCTTTAATTCAATAAAAAAGATTCATTTTCAATCAAAGATTTCTTGGAAATGACTAAAATAGATAAGATAGATTTAGAAAACTCATTGATTCCTTTCGTTTGTATGAAGATCATTTCAAGAGAAAAATAGGATATTGAAGAATTTACAGATGATAATGAAGTTCTAAAACTAAATTTAGGTTTCTCTAATAGAGCAAAAAAAATGAAATTGCTACCTAATCAAAAAATGTAGCCAAAAAGAGCTGTAAAACAAATTAATTATATTTCTAGAATAAAGTTAAGGAATAAAATTAAGAGGAATTATAATAGATGGAATAATTAAACAAACAAAGAGAATTTGTTGTGGATTCTCAATTAGTTAGATTGATGAAATCCAAAAAAACAATTAAGCATCATGAATTGCTTGAAAATTGCTAATCTATGATTTCAATATTTAAACCTGATGTGTTATTTATAAAAAAAAGAATAGAAAATTTAATTGAAAGAGATTACATAAGAAGAGATGAAAAAGACTGGTATTTATCAATTATTTAAATTTATTAGGAATATTTATCATTATTAGAATTGAAATATTTTAAATCAATATTCATATCATACAATTATATTAATAGCTAAAACAAAATAAAATCAAATATAATTTCTGAAATAAATGGAACAATTATTTTCTAGAAGATTTTGTCTCTTTGGAAAATTATAATATAATTTATCATCTATAACCTCTAATTTCTATTAAAATCTTAAAGAATATTTGTTGAACTCTTTTCTTCCTAATTTAATTTATATAGTTGTTAGAATTTCTTAGTAGTATTATTATTCATTTGAGAAGGACACATCTCAACCAGAATACGTAATAATGGAGATACCCTAATATAAACCTTAGTAATCTTATAGCAATCCATATGGAAGTAAACTCTCCCTCATTCATGGGTGTAGAAGTATTGAATAAATTCTTCACTAATTTTTTTGCATTTACGATGGCATTATTAATTGTTTTCATAATTTCATAGGTAATATTTTATATTTATAAACAGCATTCATTTCAATCTAAAAGGAAGTATCTTGTTAGCCATTGTTGAATTATCAAAAACTTAGAATGTATGTCTTTAATCATATTGAATTCAAATAATAATAGCTATTTCATAAATTAATTTATTAATTTATCTTGGCTGAAAATATTACTAAATAAATTTTCACTTAATCAGACAATTAATTATGATGATAAAATAAAACAAGTTTGTCAATAGTTATAATAATAATGAAAACTTTATTTATCTTAATAATATTATTTATTGATTATATTAATTCCACCCTAAACATTAATTTTTTTTAAGAGATTTTTGGTTGCTGAGAATTTATTTAGATTTAGTTTTCTGAATTAGATTGATTTTACAATTACATAGGATTAAGTTTGATATTTATGTTATTTTTTGATAATGAAAAGAAAAATCTTTATGAGCAAAATTGCATTACTCAGGGATCTAAATTTTTTGAGAAGAACTATTAGAGGAGATTGTCTTGAAAATTCATTTTAATTAGAAAAATTTATATATATGAGCTCTATTATTTTACTCTTACATTCTGGGCAAAATGCAAAGTTTTCTGATGCTCCTTTTTTATTATTATTATTTTTCAAATTTATTATATATATATTACTTTTTCTGATTTTTGCTCTCACTCTTCATTTATGCATTGGAGCTCTTTTAAAGAGAATGAGGCATACAACCTTTACTTGATTTTTTTATAATTTGATTAATAACTAATTCATGAGAGGATAAACCAGAGTGAATATTTTTCTTTTTGGTAAGTAATTCTTGAGATAAGCTCTATGGTATTAAATAAACTAATTTGTTTTAATTTTTCATAGAGCTATAGCATATGCTCTGCCTTATGAATTTGGGATTTTTCGTCTCTAAAGATATGAAAACTTCCTTGATGCTTATTTACTTAAAGAAAGAGGAATGGAAAATAAAAGGCTATGATGTTTTTCAAGCTTAGATTAATGATTGTTAAAAAGTTATAATAAAATTAAATATAAACCTGATAAAGGGTAGTTTTAATATATACAATTTTGTTTGGTAGAAGAGTTGATGTTGTTAATAATGGACTTTGATCAGCTTAAGCTAAATTAAATTTAACTATATGATTAATTCTTGGATTTGAGGATGAGTTAAATATGTGCTATTTTAATCTTCAATATCTTAATTCTAATTTTATAAGGATTATGTTTGCGCTCTTTTAGACTTTTGTGCAGCCGTTTCATGCCTTAAAATCTCACTATTTATAGATAGTTTATTTTCTCCTGATTGAAAATCTAATTTTTTTCCTATTTTATTAAAAATAGTTTTGAGTGTTGTTCCAAAATTCTTTTATAACTTTCAAGATTTTGTCTTTGAAGGTGTACTGCTCAACCCATAAAATCAATTAAGGTTTGAGCATATTTATCTTAGATACAAACTATTTCTTTAATGTCCATTCTTTCTCATAGTTGTGCTTGATTCTTCCAGGTTCAGTGTTCCTTTTACTTAGTATACTTCATTTGGAAGTTCTAGAGTTAGTAGGTTTGCCAGAATATCTTTGCTATTATAATTATTTGCAATTCCACACTAGAGTTGTTTCGACTTGATTCTATTCTAATTTTGGTTTCAGCCATGATTAAAATTTAAATTAATTTGCCAGTTTAAAATATTGTCTTCTCTTCGATTGCTAAATTAAAATTAATTACTTAATTATATGACAATATAATTTCAAATTATTAATTTGACAAGAAATCTTGTTTTAAATGTGCTGTATATCTATCCAAATAAACTATATAGAGTTGAATCAAACATTAATTATATTATCAAATAATATATGATTTTAATTCATTAATTACTTATGATAATTTATAATTAAATAAAAATTATAATAAATCAATAAAAGAAATGAATCCTATTTTTTTATTGTTAATTTGGAGTGTTACAAAATATATCGGAAAAGAATAATATCAAAAAGATGAAGTCAATAAAATTAAAACAAAAGTGTTTTAGTCATAGGAACCCATAGAGTTGATGGAGAAATTATCGAAATTTGTAATAAATTTGGAATAGTGGCATTTAAATAATAAAGTAGATTAATAAGAGTAATTTGTCGGTATATAAGGAGATTAAGAAAAGATAGAGAATAAATTAAACTATTAAACAAAATAAGAATATGAAATTGATATAGATAAGTATAATGATTAAAACTTATAAAAATAGGTTGACATTATAAAACGATAACCATGAATAAAATTAGTTAGATTAATCGAATATAATTTAAAATTTAGCAGAATTAGAATAGAAAAATGACTAATAATAGGATAATACAACAGAATAATAATCAAAATAAGATAATAATTCAAATAGTTCAACAGAATAATAATCAAAATAAGATAATAATTCAAATAGTTCAACAGAATAATAATCAAAATAAGATAATAATTCAAATAATTCAACAGAATAATAATCAAAATAAGATAATAATTCAAATAATTCAACAGAATAATAATCAAAATAAGATAATAATTCAAATAATTCAACAGAATAATAATCAAAATAAGATAATAATTCAAATAATTCAACAGAATAATAATCAAAATAAGATAATAATTCAAATAATTCAACAGAATAATAATCAAAATAAGATAATAATTCAAATAATTCAACAGAATAATAATCAAAATAAGATAATAATTCAAATAATTCAACAGAATAATAATCAAAATAAGATAATAATTCAAATAATTCAACAGAATAATAATCAAAATAAGATAATAATTCAAATAATTCAACAGAATAATAATCAAAATAAGATAATAATTCAAATAATTCAACAGAATAATAATCAAAATAAGATAATAATTCAAATAATTCAACAGAATAATAATCAAAATAAGATAATAATTCAAATAATTCAACAGAATAATAATCAAAATAAGATAATAATTCAAATAATTCAACAGAATAATAATCAAAATAAGATAATAATTCAAATAATTCAACAGAATAATAATCAAAATAAGATAATAATTCAAATAATTCAACAGAATAATAATCAAAATAAGATAATAATTCAAATAATTCAACAGAATAATAATCAAAATAAGATAATAATTCAAATAATTCAACAGAATAATAATCAAAATAAGATAATAATTCAAATAATTCAACAGAATAATAATCAAAATAAGATAATAATTCAAATAATTCAACAGAATAATAATCAAAATAAGATAATAATTCAAATAATTCAACAGAATAATAATCAAAATAAGATAATAATTCAAATAATTCAACAGAATAATAATCAAAATAAGATAATAATTCAAATAATTCAACAGAATAATAATCAAAATAAGATAATAATTCAAATAATTCAACAGAATAATAATCAAAATAAGATAATAATTCAAATAATTCAACAGAATAATAATCAAAATAAGATAATAATTCAAATAATTCAACAGAATAATAATCAAAATAAGATAATAATTCAAATAATTCAACAGAATAATAATCAAAATAAGATAATAATTCAAATAATTCAACAGAATAATAATCAAAATAAGATAATAATTCAAATAATTCAACAGAATAATAATCAAAATAAGATAATAATTCAAATAATTCAACAGAATAATAATCAAAATAAGATAATAATTCAAATAATTCAACAGAATAATAATCAAAATAAGATAATAATTCAAATAATTCAACAGAATAATAATCAAAATAAGATAATAATTCAAATAATTCAACAGAATAATAATCAAAATAAGATAATAATTCAAATAATTCAACAGAATAATAATCAAAATAAGATAATAATTCAAATAGTTCAACAGAATAATAATCAAAATAAGATAATAATTCAAATAATTCAACAGAATAATAATTAAAATACGATAAAAATTAAAGTTAATATAAAATATTACCTAATGAAATGAAAGGAAGAATACTTGAAAATATTCCTATAACAAATTTTTAATATTTTGAACTTATTTATAATGAAAAGATTTTTAATTCCTTAACTGATTAACAAATAGAACAATTATATGAAAATATCTTTAAAGATTACGACGATCCTTTAATCTGCATAGCTGCAGAAAAACAAGGAATACTTATTTTAGTTGGCTGTGATTTGGCTACTCAAGTTTTGGATGAAACTAAAAATATATATGCTGCCTAACAAAGTCCAAATGGAGAAGTGAATTGGTACTTTTTTAAAGGGAGATCCTTTGGTTTTTCTCCAGATCTACATATTGACCTAAATGTATGTGATAAATACAACCCTTAAGATACAAAAAGATTATGTATATCATTAAGTAAAGAAAGGATTGAAATAAGGATTGGAGAATTGAAACAATTAGAATAAATGGAAGATTACAATTTATAAATATATTTAAGGTAAATATGATTTAATAAATTTATTACAAAAGAATAATAAACTTATTGTGTATTTATAAACTAATTATTGGAAAAAATTGTTATGAATTAGTATCATCAAATTTAATCGTATATTTAGAATAATTGTAGCACATCGATTAAAGAGAAGTACTAAATAAACAATTAATATCTCAAATAGAAGTACTTGAAATTTATGTAGTAAGAATATTATTTGTTTTTTAAGTAAACAATAATCTTGATTTGAGCAATTTTTCTTGATTAACACTCTTTATAAAATATTTAAAAATAATTATATGATACAAGTTTTCTTTGCAATATTCTTAACAATTACATTAGCAAACTAAGTAGTCTATGGCGATCCTATTATTGGAATTGATTTAGGGACAACTTATTCAAGTGTTTGCTTTTAAAATAATTATAATGTTGAAATTATACCAAATGAAAAGGGATTTAAAACAACGCCTACTGTGGTTGCTTTATCAAACGATGAATTTATAGTAGGAGAAGATGCCTAAGAGTAAGCTATTATTAATCCGAACAATACATTTTATGATATAAAAAGATTGACTGGGAGATCGTAAACTATGAATTTATTATAGATGTTATCATCCGACTGTGAGTAAGGCAAAGAAAAATTTGCTATATAATTTAACTATATAAAATAAGAGGATCTATATTGAAGTGCCTAAGTATAAAAATGAGAGTCCAAAGTTATTTAGTATTGATTAGATTCAAGCAATGGTTTTAACTAAATTAAAGAATTAAGCTAGTTCTTACTTAGGTTAACCAATTAAAAATGTTGTAATGACTGTTCCAATAGGATTTGATGATTCTTAAAAATAAGCTACTATAGATATTGCAAAAATTGCTGGCTTAAATGTTGTCAAAATAATAAGTGAACCAAAAGCTGTTGCAATTGCATATGGAAAGGATAAAGAATAAGGAGAAAAGAATATTCTTGTATTTGATTTTGGAGGTGGTACTTTGGATATTACTGTTCTAAAAATAAAAAAAAACTATATTGAAGATATAAGTCATGGATCAGAGATCAATTTAGGAGGAGAAGACTTTGATTTTAATTTAGTTAAATACTTTATTGAACAAATAAAAGAATCTACTAAAATAGACATAAAGGATAATAAATATGCAATTTAAGCTTTGAAAATAGAAGCTAAAAAAGCAAAAGAAATTCTTTCTTCCTAGAAGATTGCTATTATTAAAATAAAAAACTTGATTTAAGGATATGATTTTAATCACAGTATTACAAGGGAAAAATTTGAAGATTTGAATGAAAACTTATTTGAAAGAACTAAATTAACTATATAATCAGCATATGATTAATCTAATTTATCAAAAGATGAAATTGCTGATGTAATACTAGCAGGAGGATCTAGTAGAATTCCTAAAGTTTAATAAATAATTGAAAACTTTTTTACTTAAAGCAAGATCATTAAAGATTAAATATAAGATGAATTGGTTTGTGTTGGGGCTGCTATTTAAGCAAATTAATTAACCAAAAAAGGCTAATAAAGTACAAATCGAATTGTAGAAATCAGTAAAACTCCAATAAGTTTTGGTGTTGAAATAGAAGGAGGATTGATGAGTATAATTATACCAAAGTTGTCTAAATATCCATTATCTTTGTCAAAATTATACACCACCATTCATGATTATTAATCTANATCCTTTGGTTTTTCTCCAGATCTACATATTGACCTAAATGTATGTGATAAATACAACCCTTAAGATACAAAAAGATTATGTATATCATTAAGTAAAGAAAGGATTGAAATAAGGATTGGAGAATTGAAACAATTAGAATAAATGGAAGATTACAATTTATAAATATATTTAAGGTAAATATGATTTAATAAATTTATTACAAAAGAATAATAAACTTATTGTGTATTTATAAACTAATTATTGGAAAAAATTGTTATGAATTAGTATCATCAAATTTAATCGTATATTTAGAATAATTGTAGCACATCGATTAAAGAGAAGTACTAAATAAACAATTAATATCTCAAATAGAAGTACTTGAAATTTATGTAGTAAGAATATTATTTGTTTTTTAAGTAAACAATAATCTTGATTTGAGCAATTTTTCTTGATTAACACTCTTTATAAAATATTTAAAAATAATTATATGATACAAGTTTTCTTTGCAATATTCTTAACAATTACATTAGCAAACTAAGTAGTCTATGGCGATCCTATTATTGGAATTGATTTAGGGACAACTTATTCAAGTGTTTGCTTTTAAAATAATTATAATGTTGAAATTATACCAAATGAAAAGGGATTTAAAACAACGCCTACTGTGGTTGCTTTATCAAACGATGAATTTATAGTAGGAGAAGATGCCTAAGAGTAAGCTATTATTAATCCGAACAATACATTTTATGATATAAAAAGATTGACTGGGAGATCGTAAACTATGAATTTATTATAGATGTTATCATCCGACTGTGAGTAAGGCAAAGAAAAATTTGCTATATAATTTAACTATATAAAATAAGAGGATCTATATTGAAGTGCCTAAGTATAAAAATGAGAGTCCAAAGTTATTTAGTATTGATTAGATTCAAGCAATGGTTTTAACTAAATTAAAGAATTAAGCTAGTTCTTACTTAGGTTAACCAATTAAAAATGTTGTAATGACTGTTCCAATAGGATTTGATGATTCTTAAAAATAAGCTACTATAGATATTGCAAAAATTGCTGGCTTAAATGTTGTCAAAATAATAAGTGAACCAAAAGCTGTTGCAATTGCATATGGAAAGGATAAAGAATAAGGAGAAAAGAATATTCTTGTATTTGATTTTGGAGGTGGTACTTTGGATATTACTGTTCTAAAAATAAAAAAAAACTATATTGAAGATATAAGTCATGGATCAGAGATCAATTTAGGAGGAGAAGACTTTGATTTTAATTTAGTTAAATACTTTATTGAACAAATAAAAGAATCTACTAAAATAGACATAAAGGATAATAAATATGCAATTTAAGCTTTGAAAATAGAAGCTAAAAAAGCAAAAGAAATTCTTTCTTCCTAGAAGATTGCTATTATTAAAATAAAAAACTTGATTTAAGGATATGATTTTAATCACAGTATTACAAGGGAAAAATTTGAAGATTTGAATGAAAACTTATTTGAAAGAACTAAATTAACTATATAATCAGCATATGATTAATCTAATTTATCAAAAGATGAAATTGCTGATGTAATACTAGCAGGAGGATCTAGTAGAATTCCTAAAGTTTAATAAATAATTGAAAACTTTTTTACTTAAAGCAAGATCATTAAAGATTAAATATAAGATGAATTGGTTTGTGTTGGGGCTGCTATTTAAGCAAATTAATTAACCAAAAAAGGCTAATAAAGTACAAATCGAATTGTAGAAATCAGTAAAACTCCAATAAGTTTTGGTGTTGAAATAGAAGGAGGATTGATGAGTATAATTATACCAAAGTTGTCTAAATATCCATTATCTTTGTCAAAATTATACACCACCATTCATGATTATTAATCTACAGTCCTAATTTCCATTTTTTAGGGCGAAAATAAATTTACAATATTAAACACTTAAATTGGGGAATTTGAATTAACAGGTATTTAAGTAGCTAAAAAAAGGATACCTTAAATTGAAGTTACTTTTTCATTAGACTTTAACGGAATACTTTAGGTAACTGCTATTGATTTAGAAACAAAAAGTTCAAATAATTAAGTTATAGCAAAAAATTTGTTGAGACCTACTGAGGAAGAAATTCAAAATCTAACTAAAGATAATGAAGACATTTAAAAAGAAGAAGAAGAAAAATTATAAAGTATAGAGAAATTAAAAATATACTAAAATGAATTCTTAAAAGACCTACAAGTATAAGTTTAATAAAATAATTTAGATGTCTGAATACAAAGATCTATTAAAAGAGATTGAATATGACTAAATAATACAACTTCTCACTTCTAGTACTCAATGGGTAAAGATGAATGAACATAATACTAAAATAAAAAAGGAAGTTTTTAAAAAAGAATTGGAAAATCTTCAAAAGTAAGATTTATTAATTTAGTTAGTTAAATAAACAAAATATTAAATAAAAAAAGAGATTTATGAAATTTATTTCATATTTTAATAGATAAATTATCATTTATACATTAAATGTTTCTATATATTAGAATATGAATTAGTCAATATTGAATTACTAAATTTCATCTTTAAAATTATTAATAACTTAAAACAATTTTTATTATATTTATTATTGATCAATTTGATTAATTGCAAATGGTTTAGATAAATTAATAATTTATAATTTGTTATATTATAAATATACAAATTGATTAGATAAAAATGATTTCACTTTAGAAAAAGGAGACATGAATAAGTTAATTTATAAATTTAAAGCTAAAGGAATAATAATACATCAGATTTAATTAAAAAATTCGTGTTTTAGTAATTCTTTAGCTTCTGATCTTTGAGATGGATCATAGGCTAGACATTGTTTAAGTAAATCAAAAAGTTAATTTTATTTGATTAATGTTAAGTAATTACAATTCTGTCTTATTATCTGGTTTAATTACAATTACTATTGTTTTTAAATGATTCTAATTAATAAGAATATATAATTACTTGCTTAAATCTCTTCCTTTGACTGCAAATAACCCATATTTTATTTATGGTTTTCCTTATCTCATAATTTTGCCTTTATAGGATAGCCAATTAGGAACACCATGTAAAATATCAAGTATTACTGCCCCTTTATTTGTTTATAAAAATACCATAACTCCAAACATCAATTTTTGGAGTCCCATGCATTTGATTAAGTGCTTCAATTTAAGTATTGTATTAATTAGAATATTTAGTCCAATTATGCATAATATCAAGGGCCTCAGGTGCCATGTATTCAGGTGTAATCATTCCAAATTGATCATTATCTTCATTTGAAAATGCTGATCCAAAATCTATAATTTTTGGTATATTATTCTCAACTAATATATTATCTGGTTTCAAATCAAAATGAGTTACATGTTTGTCATTAATACATGAAATTCCATTCAGTATACCATACATTAATTCAATTAGTTTGTTTGGATGTTCATACATATCCAATAATTCTTAAGTCTCACTTATCTAAAAATTATGATTGTTAGTACTGCATAAACTCTTTCTCCCTTGTAGAATTCACCTTTCATTGTATAGAGAGCTTTGCTTAATGGTTTACCTCCCAACTCCTATATAATCCAAGTATCTTTGTTTGAATGTTCCACTCCCATTATCTAAACTATATTATCTGATTTAATGTAATTAAATTTCGCCTCTTTGCTCTATTATGGTTTGGCTATTTATTTCAAAGCTACCTTCTAATTACCCATTGATGCTAACCAAACTAATGCAAATCCTCCCCTTAATAGATTTAAATATATTATATACCTTCCCAAGAGTTCGAGTTTGTCAAATCCTATTAATTATCTATCTCCATAAGTTCCTTTCTCTTCTTCAGTGAGTCCATAATCTTTATGCATTTTAAGGGATGGCAATCTATTAGGTTTGAGTGTGAAGCTACTATGCTTTTATAATTTAAAGACTGTATTTCCTGGAGATTAATTATATTCCTTTTATACAAGGTCTACAATCATTCTTTACTGCAACAGTGAATCTAATCCTACTATATTGTATATATTTAAATATAATATCAAAGTAATATAATAATGGAGAGTATGATATAAATATATACTGTTAGTTGAGATGGGAGTTCTCCTTGATTTTTAAGAGAGTTGTCTCTAGTAATGAATGGGCATCATATTAATTATTTATATTTATACTCTTAACAAATATTTGATAATATATAATTATTTATATAATATTTGAAATGTAAGAGTGGCCTAAGAAATTGTTTCTTGCTATAGCATTCATCTCTTGTTTCACCTGTTATGCAAGACCAGATTATAATCTTCCATTATTTGCCTTTGCATATTTGCTATGGGATATAGATAGACCTGTAAGTCAATCATTCATGTGAATATAGGTATCACAAAAGATTAGATTAATTTATCTATTTGTATATTCATGGATTATTGATTTCGTTTGGCTTGTTTATTGGGGTCCATTTTGGAATTCTTCTACTTTTAGTCATAATTGGGCTGATGGAATTTAAACATTTGTGTTAGTGTTGTCCGTTATCAACTTTATCTTGAAAGTAGAAATTGAATTAATAATGTATAGTTGGGTACAATTGTAGTGTGCATTTTGGCAGAGAAAGAATGCAAAGATGCATTACATCCTGAAAATGCAATGGCACATGCAAAGAACATATTTAGTAATGATGGTTAGCATTAATGAATTACTTAAATTTTTAAAAAAAAAATTAATATCTATTTTAAATTAATGTCTTAATCAGTACTTTGGGAAGTAGTTAAGGGCAACAATGCTTTTTTAGTAAAGAGAAATGGATTGACACTCTCAACTGATCCATTCAATAACACTGGAGTATAAACATATAGCAGTACAGGTATAGAAGCAATATTAACATAAAAGGATTCATTNTTTATAAATTTAAAGCTAAAGGAATAATAATACATCAGATTTAATTAAAAAATTCGTGTTTTAGTAATTCTTTAGCTTCTGATCTTTGAGATGGATCATAGGCTAGACATTGTTTAAGTAAATCAAAAAGTTAATTTTATTTGATTAATGTTAAGTAATTACAATTCTGTCTTATTATCTGGTTTAATTACAATTACTATTGTTTTTAAATGATTCTAATTAATAAGAATATATAATTACTTGCTTAAATCTCTTCCTTTGACTGCAAATAACCCATATTTTATTTATGGTTTTCCTTATCTCATAATTTTGCCTTTATAGGATAGCCAATTAGGAACACCATGTAAAATATCAAGTATTACTGCCCCTTTATTTGTTTATAAAAATACCATAACTCCAAACATCAATTTTTGGAGTCCCATGCATTTGATTAAGTGCTTCAATTTAAGTATTGTATTAATTAGAATATTTAGTCCAATTATGCATAATATCAAGGGCCTCAGGTGCCATGTATTCAGGTGTAATCATTCCAAATTGATCATTATCTTCATTTGAAAATGCTGATCCAAAATCTATAATTTTTGGTATATTATTCTCAACTAATATATTATCTGGTTTCAAATCAAAATGAGTTACATGTTTGTCATTAATACATGAAATTCCATTCAGTATACCATACATTAATTCAATTAGTTTGTTTGGATGTTCATACATATCCAATAATTCTTAAGTCTCACTTATCTAAAAATTATGATTGTTAGTACTGCATAAACTCTTTCTCCCTTGTAGAATTCACCTTTCATTGTATAGAGAGCTTTGCTTAATGGTTTACCTCCCAACTCCTATATAATCCAAGTATCTTTGTTTGAATGTTCCACTCCCATTATCTAAACTATATTATCTGATTTAATGTAATTAAATTTCGCCTCTTTGCTCTATTATGGTTTGGCTATTTATTTCAAAGCTACCTTCTAATTACCCATTGATGCTAACCAAACTAATGCAAATCCTCCCCTTAATAGATTTAAATATATTATATACCTTCCCAAGAGTTCGAGTTTGTCAAATCCTATTAATTATCTATCTCCATAAGTTCCTTTCTCTTCTTCAGTGAGTCCATAATCTTTATGCATTTTAAGGGATGGCAATCTATTAGGTTTGAGTGTGAAGCTACTATGCTTTTATAATTTAAAGACTGTATTTCCTGGAGATTAATTATATTCCTTTTATACAAGGTCTACAATCATTCTTTACTGCAACAGTGAATCTAATCCTACTATATTGTATATATTTAAATATAATATCAAAGTAATATAATAATGGAGAGTATGATATAAATATATACTGTTAGTTGAGATGGGAGTTCTCCTTGATTTTTAAGAGAGTTGTCTCTAGTAATGAATGGGCATCATATTAATTATTTATATTTATACTCTTAACAAATATTTGATAATATATAATTATTTATATAATATTTGAAATGTAAGAGTGGCCTAAGAAATTGTTTCTTGCTATAGCATTCATCTCTTGTTTCACCTGTTATGCAAGACCAGATTATAATCTTCCATTATTTGCCTTTGCATATTTGCTATGGGATATAGATAGACCTGTAAGTCAATCATTCATGTGAATATAGGTATCACAAAAGATTAGATTAATTTATCTATTTGTATATTCATGGATTATTGATTTCGTTTGGCTTGTTTATTGGGGTCCATTTTGGAATTCTTCTACTTTTAGTCATAATTGGGCTGATGGAATTTAAACATTTGTGTTAGTGTTGTCCGTTATCAACTTTATCTTGAAAGTAGAAATTGAATTAATAATGTATAGTTGGGTACAATTGTAGTGTGCATTTTGGCAGAGAAAGAATGCAAAGATGCATTACATCCTGAAAATGCAATGGCACATGCAAAGAACATATTTAGTAATGATGGTTAGCATTAATGAATTACTTAAATTTTTAAAAAAAAAATTAATATCTATTTTAAATTAATGTCTTAATCAGTACTTTGGGAAGTAGTTAAGGGCAACAATGCTTTTTTAGTAAAGAGAAATGGATTGACACTCTCAACTGATCCATTCAATAACACTGGAGTATAAACATATAGCAGTACAGGTATAGAAGCAATATTAACATAAAAGGATTCATTACAAATAATGCTATTGGTGTAGTACCAACATAATCAAAGGTTAATTAAATTAATAATGTGAATTTGGTTGCAAGAAAGAGCACAAAATTCTAATAAGTTGATAGAAAAACCAAGAATACTCAATCAGTTTATGCTTCAACATTAAGTGTTAAACATGGAATTCATACAGCTTCAAGAGTATCATGTCTTATGAATCATAGGTAATCAGAAAGAGATTTGGTACAAGAAGACTTGGATTGTAGAAGGCAGCTCTTAGAAAATTAGTGAAATTAAACAGAGCAAATGCTGTCAGAAGAAGAAACGAAATTGCTGCAACTAAAGCATAAAAGAAATGATTTGCATTATCAAACGATGTACAATATATATATATATTTATTTAATATTATTTTATTAATGGAAAACTATTCATACATATTCTCAAAACTAATAGAATCTAAATTATTATATAATTAAATAGTATTTATAATCTAAGTATAGGAATATTAATAATAATCATATATAATTTTAAATGATTTCTATACAATATAATAATTAAATTTATATGAAATATTAAAGACTTACAAACTAGTATATATAATCATCATTCTTATTTTGTTATTATAGATTAAATAAGAATATTAAAAGTTATAAATGAATAAGGTTATTCAAATTTAATGAATTTAATTATTTAATATTTTATGTAAATGTGTACTATACTTTAGAATGATCATTATTATTTGGTTTCTTCTTGGTGTTCTCTAGCTTATTTCTTTTCAAGAGCTGTCAAATATAAACCATTATCATCTGGAAGTGAAATTAAGGATTTCTTTCCTTTTCCAATTGTAAAGATATTATTAATTCTTGTAGAGAAGTGTTTACCATTTGAATCCTAATTAATCTTTATTAATTTATACTTTAACATGGACAATATCAAATGATCCAAGATGTCTTTCTCTATGTTAAATGAGACCAACTCTTCCAATGTTATTACCTCCAATAATATAACATAAATTTCCTTAATAAATATTATATTTATATATTACCTGGTTCTTCTTTTAAGAAATCAACAACTTTTCCAGTTTCCAAATCAATTTTTAATGTGTCATTAACATGAATTTCAGGATTTGGATATCTAATAGTTCTAGCATCATTAGTAACAATATAAGGAACATTGTTTGGTCCAACTTTCTTTTATGTTACTTTGACTAACTTGAATTTGGCTTCATCTGGTTTGATTGATTTTAATATGAATTTTCCTGAGACATCATATAATACTCTATAACTTTCTCTTGTTTTGTCAATTGTAATGACATCTGAGTCATTAATTATATATATATACCTAATNAATGCTATTGGTGTAGTACCAACATAATCAAAGGTTAATTAAATTAATAATGTGAATTTGGTTGCAAGAAAGAGCACAAAATTCTAATAAGTTGATAGAAAAACCAAGAATACTCAATCAGTTTATGCTTCAACATTAAGTGTTAAACATGGAATTCATACAGCTTCAAGAGTATCATGTCTTATGAATCATAGGTAATCAGAAAGAGATTTGGTACAAGAAGACTTGGATTGTAGAAGGCAGCTCTTAGAAAATTAGTGAAATTAAACAGAGCAAATGCTGTCAGAAGAAGAAACGAAATTGCTGCAACTAAAGCATAAAAGAAATGATTTGCATTATCAAACGATGTACAATATATATATATATTTATTTAATATTATTTTATTAATGGAAAACTATTCATACATATTCTCAAAACTAATAGAATCTAAATTATTATATAATTAAATAGTATTTATAATCTAAGTATAGGAATATTAATAATAATCATATATAATTTTAAATGATTTCTATACAATATAATAATTAAATTTATATGAAATATTAAAGACTTACAAACTAGTATATATAATCATCATTCTTATTTTGTTATTATAGATTAAATAAGAATATTAAAAGTTATAAATGAATAAGGTTATTCAAATTTAATGAATTTAATTATTTAATATTTTATGTAAATGTGTACTATACTTTAGAATGATCATTATTATTTGGTTTCTTCTTGGTGTTCTCTAGCTTATTTCTTTTCAAGAGCTGTCAAATATAAACCATTATCATCTGGAAGTGAAATTAAGGATTTCTTTCCTTTTCCAATTGTAAAGATATTATTAATTCTTGTAGAGAAGTGTTTACCATTTGAATCCTAATTAATCTTTATTAATTTATACTTTAACATGGACAATATCAAATGATCCAAGATGTCTTTCTCTATGTTAAATGAGACCAACTCTTCCAATGTTATTACCTCCAATAATATAACATAAATTTCCTTAATAAATATTATATTTATATATTACCTGGTTCTTCTTTTAAGAAATCAACAACTTTTCCAGTTTCCAAATCAATTTTTAATGTGTCATTAACATGAATTTCAGGATTTGGATATCTAATAGTTCTAGCATCATTAGTAACAATATAAGGAACATTGTTTGGTCCAACTTTCTTTTATGTTACTTTGACTAACTTGAATTTGGCTTCATCTGGTTTGATTGATTTTAATATGAATTTTCCTGAGACATCATATAATACTCTATAACTTTCTCTTGTTTTGTCAATTGTAATGACATCTGAGTCATTAATTATATATATATACCTAATAAACCAACTGGATATCCAAAGTCAGTTCTTACTTTTCCGTCAACTTTAATATTACCATCCTTATCAGCAAGAATCATTTAGACATCTCTTGCATACAAAGCATATTTAAGTTTATGTTGCAATATAATAGATAATGGGATTGATTCTCTTAATTTATGGGGTCCTTATGATGGTCTTGTTGTCCAATTTCCTCCTAATTTTGAGAGCATCCAACTCTTTGGTGCTGTAATTCTTTTCATATGTTTCTTGGGTCCTCTTGCCTATAGATAATAGTAATCATTATTGTTACCATGATTGTTTAAAGAAAAAATTAAAATCTTTTTAATTTAATTCAAAATGTTAATATTCATAACATTCATAACATTAATAAATGCAGAAACATGTTAATGTAATACAGGTATATGTAATTCATAAACCTGTTACTGTCCTTATCCTTTTGCTGGTGAACATTGTGATTACATATTAAAATTAGGATATGGTATGAATTACACAACAGAGTTTGATCATTATATTGGACATGATAGAAAAAAAGAAGATAATGATTGCAAATCAGATTGCAATAAATAAGGTTTATGTATTTAATCTTAATGTTATTGTAAATCACCTTATGGAGGACAATATTGTTAATTTAAATTGATTTTTGTTGATGAAAATGAAAACAATTCTACACAAATATAAACATTAGATAATTTATTTAGTATTCATATGGATTTATAAACTTCTAAGAATATTATGACATAGTTAAAATAATTTGATAAGAAAGAAATGTATAAGAAATGTCCAGTTCCTTGTAGAAATGGTGGTTATTGTGTATTTGGTTAATGTATGTGTAAATCTCCTTATGTTGGTGATTATTGTCAATTTTAAATAGAATTTGAATAAGGAATGCCAGTAAAGTTAATAATTTATTGATAGCATTATTAAGTTTACATGTTGATGATATTTTCATGTTTTGTAGGTATAGCAATAACAGTGATAATATTTATGATTTTGAAATTTATTGAAGATGAAAAAAAGAAATATGAATTAATAAGTGGTGAGAATAAAGATTAATGGTAAAAAAAAGGATGATGAAAATTAATAATAATATTATTATATATATATATAAATGCAATTTTAATAATTAATGCCTGTAGGATATATGAAATAACCTACTTTGAAAACATTTGTAATAGCAAAAATAAAGAAAGAGAATACAGAAAAATGTATTAAACTTTATAAACAAAAATATCATCAATATTTCTATTAGCATGATTATCTAAAATTAATTAAATAAGGTTAAGAAAAGGATTATGTTTTGATGTTATTTTGTTTTCCAGAGGTATTTATTTAATTACTATTTATAGGACTTAGATAAAATGAAGTTAGATTTTGAAGTAGAGTAATTTTTTGAAATTCAATTACCAAGCATTGCACCTATCAATAAAGAATAAAAATAAATATATGATGAATATTGGAATATCTTACATCCAAATTATGAATATCCACATAAATAAAATAAAGATGCACCTCTTAAAATGTAATAAATTTTAGATACAAAACAAACAAGGAATAAATGTATTCTTTATAATGATGAAAATGATATCATTATTGAAGCAGAAGATGAAACACATATTAATAATGTTAGACATTGTGTTATGGTAGCAATGGAGAAACTAGCAGAACATAATAAAAATTAAAATAATCAAAAACATTTTCGTGAAACTTAGTATTATGCAAGGGAAATGACTTTAGTCACATACTTTGAACCTTGTATTATGTGTTCAATGGCTTTGATTCATTCAAGAATAAAAGAAGTTTATTATTATCAAAAAAGAGTTGTAGATGGAGGACTCAATGATCAATTATAAATAAATAATATGAAATAACTAAATCACAAATATTTAGTATTTTATCAGCATTGATTTAATTGATTGAATTTATTTATAAATATAATATTATAATTATTCAAATACTATTTTAATATATAAATAGCATTAATATTTATATTTACAATTTTATAGATTTTAAATTCATAATATTCATAAATTTTGATTTAATATTTCATAAAATACTTATTTATATTAAATTAAAATAATATTTTCATATTTGAAGAGATATTTAATTACAAATATATATATTAATTTACTCATAATCTTTATTTCCCTTAGGCTTACTTTAATAAATGCAATAAGGTTTCTTATCTACGACTCTTTCGTTTCTTTGTCTATCTCTAAAATATCATTCTTTTTTCTTGGAACTACGAAAAGCATGAATATCATACTTTAGCCACTACTTATGAAATATTATTATGAGGATTATAATTGCTAAATTCACTAACTCTCTCGAATTGCTAAAATATATCTATGTATTATCCTAAAATCTTATCTTCATCTTCTTCTTCATCTTCAGAACTATCATCTAACTTTAATTTTACTGATTTTCTTCTCACTACTTAGTTTATTTATAATTATGGTACTTACAATACCTATTAATATCCTTACTCATTCATAACACATAAAGACTCATTCCCTCCTTTTTTCATAATCTTCTCATATACAGGTACTTCTTCTTCAGGCAACTCTGCCTAAGATCCATAATTTATAGATGTCTTTCTATTATTTTTTAACCCTGTTGTATTTAGATATTAATTATTCTACTAACAAAACCTAAATGTTCTTGGAGAAGATTCATCCATAGAAAGCTAAATTCTTTAAGATAAAGAAGCTTTTCCTTATGTATTCATCTACATAGTAGTCTATGGAATCTGATTAAAAGTATATTGATTTCCAAAATGAATGCCATGTTATTATTATAATTCCTTTATTTCTTCTATTTAAACAAGATCTTCATTTTTCATCATGTAATTTAAAACACTTTCTAAAACAATGAAATGATGTTTCAATGCATACATTTTCCTTGTATGATTATGTCTAATATATTTAGGTGTTCTATCAACAGGAGTGAATCTTCTGTAATTGTATAAAGTCTTAATTCTATTAGGTATTCCAAATAAAGATGGACAAGTATTTGTAAAATGAGAATCACTTTGACATGTATTACATTTTATTTAAATTACTTTTAAATTTAAATTTTATGCTATATCATCTGTTATCTACTAGAATATCTCCTATAAGTAATAGATTTCAATATATATATACATAATCAGAAGGATGATCCTTAAAGACATTGTGTAATTAGTCTCTTGAAATCTATAGAACTTTTGTAGTCTTTGAAGCTACAGCATCATAAGAATAAGATCTTTTGGAAAAGAAATCTAATTATCCAATAAAGGATGGATTATTTATCTTTTATAAAAATCTTGGTTAATCATTTAGTGTTAATACTAATTTAATTTCTCCTGTTACTAGAATAAATAAATAAGATGATTTATTATTCCTTTTAAATAGATAATCATCAGATTGTATTTATCTTTCTTCTAAATACATACATAATTTATTCAATAAAGGTTAACTAAAATTCTTAAAAAATGATAATTAATTTAATATTTTAGCATTAACATCTACAATCATTTGATCTTTTAAACTTTTAGGAATTAAATCTGAAAATTATATTACTTTTTAAGAAGGTTTACTCCACAAATATTCAAAATATCTTCTAAATTTAATTTAAAGATCATCAGATACATTTTAACTTTTTAAATATCTATTTAATTAATTCATATTATTTTTTAAATGAACTGATTATTTTGAAAAATCTTGGAATATACCTCCAATATTATTTACAGTATATGCAAATGTTGCAGATGAAATCATAGTCATAAATATTACAAAGATTCTTTCAGTCAAATTTACAGGTGTTATATCTCCATATCCAATTGTTGTCATTGTAACTATACTCCAATAAAATGATACTACATATCTATCTAACCATGATTCATTCTATAAATTAGCTACTTTCAACCATGTTTTGCCTTCATGATTACCCCATTCACCCCATTGTCCTATAATATGCCAAATACAGGCTGAAAAATGAGCTACTAGAATCATAAAAGATCTAGAGCATATTTATATGCATACATCATTTTAAATAAATCGAATAATGCTGTTTATCTATTTGACAATTCTAAACGATTAAAAAGTGATGAAAATAAACTAGATAACTAGAATACTTTCAAAATGATCACAAAATCAAAGTATCTAAAATCAAATTATTAACCTATAAAGAAAGGAACAACCAAAAATAAATCAATTAAAAAACCTATCTAATATTAATATCCATTAACCTTCTATGCAATAAAATTTAACAATCTTTGCTCTATTTGTTATTAGTATACCTTTATTATAAATACAAGTATTGAATTTTAAGATAATTTCTAAAAGAAATGAATAAACAGGTAATTATTCAAAAAAGAATTCTTTACTTTTTAAAGGAAAGTCAACTATTTCTGGAAATGAAATACGCAAAGACACATAAAACACATTTATAGTAACTATCAAAATCAAGTAAATATTCCATATGATTATGATAGTGTCATCTGGTTTCAATAACCATTTTCTTACATTATTACTTAAAAATTAACTATGATGTTCTGCCATTATAATTTAAATTTACATAATATGCAAGAAAACCAATTATTTAATTTGAGTAAGATTTATGAGGGCTTATCTTTTGGCAATAATCCTTTATATTTGTAAAAATTATAGTCGGCTGCTTTATCCTTAATTAAATTAAATTCTTGTTTAGTGAAAAGACTCATATCCTTTCGTGTAATCTATCTAGTTATTAGAACAATAAATTTAGAAACTATAAGTATTATTCTCAATGCTTTGTATTTCCAAATAGGATTCTCTATCCCAAAGCTATGATGTTGAGTTCTTCTACCCCACAATAATACTTTTGAACTCTTATTGATATTAGTTTCTAAAGGTTCAGGACAATCCTCATTGTTACTTATTTGACTAATAATCATGAAAAATATAATAATTATATAAAAATGGATAAACTTGATAAAATTATAGCATAATTAGATGAATTGGAGATTAGTCAAAAACATAGAGAAGAATTACTTAAAAGAAATCAAGCAACTTTTTTATTAAAATTGCCAAAAGTACCCAATCAGATTTTTTTATACAGGTCATTTTAATATAGAGAGTATGTGGATTTTTAGATGATAATGATCTATATAGATTTACAGCAACTTGTTCTACTCTTAGAAAGATTATGTTTTGTCCTTTAGGATTTAAATTATTAATGTTAAGTAGAAATGCTAATCATTTGGTTGGTGGACCTAAACATTAAGAAATATAACTCAAACATGAAAAGATTGATATTATAACATGTGGAAATTTATCAACCAATAATAATATATTTGAAACAGAAGAAGATGCTCTAGCCTAATTAGAGGTTTTAAAGGCTGTAAAGGATTTCTTGAAGAGTAAATTATAGGATGCATAAATAACCATTAAAAAATTAGAAGATATGCTCGAGGATGCTTAGGCTACTTTAAAATATGAAAAATCAGTCAATCTAAAATTGTAATCTAAGATCAATATTTTACAAAATTAATTATCTATTTCTGAATTATAAAGATAGGATGTTAAAGAGAATTTAGCAGAATTGAATTCTAAATATAATAAAATAGTAAGAATTTATTGAAATTCTTATAGATTACTTAAATGGAATAAGATAGAATTATTTTATTGGAGGATAAGGAGAAACTTATGGGACATAAGAAAGTATTGATTGAAGAAGTCTATAGATTGAGAGGATTAGTATCTTAGATGGAAGAAAATCAAAATAATTATAGAGAAGCATTGAGATAAGTTAAAACTTTTATGGAAAGTGTAGAAGTTAAACCTATTTGAATTAGTTATTGATTGAATTATTAATTAATTTTGATGATGTACTATTTTCACAATTAATAAACTCATATTAAAATTGGATATTTTAGAGTGTGTATTTTTAGTTTAAAAATAGTATCAAATATTCCAATTTTAATTATTCATGGATTATTAATTACCTTCTTTGGCAGAACCATTCACATGGGTTTCTTATAGTATTTTAGGCATTTTGGTAGGATTATCATAAGCTGGTGGCATTGGTGGTGGTCCAATTATATCTCCAGTCATGATGGTTTTACTGGGATGTCCTAGTAAAAAAGCAATTTGGAACACTTACATAATGCTTTTGGGTGGAAGTCTTGGTAATTTCCTTAGATTAGGAAAAGAGAGAGTAATAATTTATATTTAAATTGCTTTAGACTGCTAATGGAAGTGCTCCATTGATCAATTATTAATTGGTTCAAATTACATTACCATTATTATTGGCTGGAGCAATTTTGGGAGTTGCAACAGGTAAATGGTTACCAAAACTAATGATTGTGATCTTTTTGTTCGGTATATTAATGACAGTCTTTTTAAAAACGAAGAGTTTATACATAAAAACACGTAGTAAAGAAATGAATGAACAATTAATACCTGTTGAACTAAAAGAATTAACAATATAAAAAGAGAGTAATCACTCAAAAGAATTGAATATAATAAGGGAGAAAGATGCAAGACTCTACCCAATAGAACCATTAACAGAAATCAGCTTAACAATTTTGATAATAATAGTTGTTACATTATTAAAAGGATCAGGAGCAGTACCATCTCTACTTGGTATTGATTATTGTGGTTATGGTTATCATTTCTTAAATTTTATTATCTTTGGAATTGCTTTTTATAATGTATAAAGATATAGAAAATTAATATCAAAAGAAGAAGAATATAAGGAATCTATAGGTTATGATTTTGCAGATGGTAAAATGAGCGCAGTATTTGATATTACAGTGAAATCCAGTCTTTATGCTGGGTTTTTGGGAGGACTTGTTGGTTTAGGAGGAGGTGTAGTATTGACTCCTCTTTGGTTAGAAACTGGAATAAATCCTCCTAGAGCAGCTGCTTCTGCTACATTCACAGTT